TCCATGGTAGACCAAAATTCCCATTTCGTGCTTTTTGTGCGCTGTGATACAGGCACAGAAGAAAATGTGTAACCAGGATCAGCTGTTACTGGCGCGGAAAGCAAAGGAGGGGAACTCTACAGGTTGAAGAAGAAAGGTGTGCTAATAGCGTGAAGAAGCAGACGGACAGAAACGAGGAAGCTGACCCCGAGGGGAAACTCAGGGGTGTGTGAGCACTCGGGGGCTGTGTCAGGCTGTCCTAACGCCGGGCCTCCTCCTGGCTCCCGTGGGTCTCGTGGTGTCAGAGAGCTCCCCAGGAGCCGCCAGATGCCCGTCCTTCAGGACCTCTGCCTCGAGTTCCCGTGTCCACGCGAGCGGAGGGTGCACAGGGCAGGAGCAGGCACTGAACGCCGCGGGTGCTCAGCGGGGTCGTGTGCGGCCCGCCAGCGAGACCCTGTGCGATTTGTTGGGCACAGAGGAGCAGCCAGAAAACCAGCGTGCAGTTCTTCTCTGTTGCTGAAAAGGTGCTGCACCCGGCAGATACGTGTTTGAAAGAAAGCAATTAGGCAAAGCAGCAATTGTAGCGCCGTTATATACATATCTATTCATATGTGGATAATGGCATAAGTAGCTCTAGCTGTCTTTTGGGAATTATGCTCCTTTTATATTTTATTAGCTAATAACTTTCTGACAACTGAGTCATCAAATTACAATAAAAAAATAGTGAAATATTTTTAACAATGAATATTTTAGTGAGTGTCTGACAATTATATATTCACTTGCTTTCATTGGAAGGATTATTTAGATAAGAACAAGGGACACATCCGGTAAAAGAAAGAAATACGATCATGTCTGTCATAGAAGTACCCGAAAGCAAGGAGTAGTATAGGAGAGATAAAATGGGATAGAGTTAGAAATTAGAGTATTTCAGTAGCATTAGCTGCAGATATTCTGTATGTAGATTCTACTCCCTATTTTTGCTCTTAATAGCATACAGAAAATCAAAGGGACCAGTTAGTTTTGAAGCCTATTACATTATTAAACTCAAAAGCAGAAAGACCACTATCATTATTACTTACTTGAATAATTTGAAGTCTAGTGAAAGATAAACCAAAAAGATAAGAAGTAACATATCTAAATATTAATTTTGGAATGTTTCAGTTTGCTTACTGTTATTGCACATCTTTTTGCTCATACCTATTCTATGCAGAATACCTTTTGCCATCACCATTTCTCAAAAGCGGTTCAAGTCACATTGCTAATACAAGTTCAGGTTTGGTCGTTTGCTCACATCATTAAACACTGGTCTTTAGTAATTAAGGCATTTTAAAAGTTGTCATGCTGAGTATGTTTGTGTATGCTTCAAAGTATTCTAGAAACTAACCACTGTCCTCACCTTCTAACTGTACAATTCTTCAGTACACTGATAAAATCAAATAGGCGGAACACGGGACAAAGAAGAAACGCCGTGCCTGTTCACTGAGTCAGCACACGACGTGGACCGTGTTTTGGCACTCTTTCTGGAGTGGAACGGCCCCTCGGTCGGCACAGTGCTCGTGCCAGAGAAACTGCCTCCCTGGCAAAGAGCCGCCGCGCACCAATAAGCACAAACAAGGACTCTGGCCATTACTGTTTCTGCCCCGTGAGCAAAAAGAAAAGTTTGGGGGTTGATTTGTTTGTTTGTTTTCCTTTCCAAAGCGTGTTCTGATCTTTTGTTGGCAAGTGCTTTACAATACCAAATATGATGACACGTTTCCCAAGTAAGCAAGTAAATAAGCTTAGTAATGATAGCCTTGGCCTAGTATGCCATTAGTCTGGGCACTGCACAGTCATAATGAGGGACAGCACTAGCTCTGCAAAACTACAAAATTAAGGGAGGGGAGATCAAACAAGTGTAGCAAAAAGTTAATTCCCACGAAGGAGGAAGTTGCACTGGTTGGGATGAAAACACTCCCCTTGGCACGCTGGTTATCTAACCACCGTTGTTGCTGGCAAAGCAGAAAAAGACAATTTCAAGGTCAGATGAGGGGAGAGATTAATTTTAGCTTAATGAATGTTCTCAGTGGCCTGCTTTTCTTGCAAAATCCAGGAAAGTCAATAATGTTTCCACAGCCCATAAGGGTGGTAAAGAAGTGCTTGGGTCCTGCACTGTGCCACAAAATACTGCATCTAATGAAAGCCCAACGCCTTCTGTACCAAGATGAATATTTTGTATTAAAAAGGATTCCTCCATTGGCAGTGTGAGTGGCTGCCTCCTTAGAAGATGATCCTGCTTTCCCTAATCTCTTTCCTTGACGAGCTGCCTGGAGAAGTAGAGCAACAGCAGAGTCAGCACGAAGCTTTGCCTTGGTCTTTACTCCATTCCTTGTCACACTAGTTACTAATAAGTTAGTACAACCAGGTTTTGTGTATCATCTGAGCAATTACAGTGCTGCTCATATGGTTTTATATGGCTGCCAGGCCACAAGAGGAATGACCTAAACAACTCTCTGCTTTTACAGGAGTTAATAACTTTTGCATTTCCTTACCACCTCCAAATGCAGGACATCAGTGAAATTAAACAAAATTGCAGACCTCCTAAAGGTCTATAGAGAGCCCAGGAAATTGTCTAGCGTTATTCATGAGTCAGTGTTGTTGAACTACTATGACTTTACAGCCATTTCGAAAAAATGTATGCACACTATCTTACAATTGGAATATAAACATTCTTTCTCTTAAAAAAAAAAAAAATGGAAAAGGCCACTGAGTAATTTATATAAATTCACCAATACAATTTCAGAGGACTAATACTGTCTGGATTCAAAATATATAAGGATTATTAAAGCCCCATACTGTAAAACTGAAGGGAACTGAAGGAACTGTTCTCCTGTAAAGGATTTTAATAACAGCTGTGATTGTCTTTTGTTATTTATCTTGCTGTTGTGCCTGCAGGCCTTCCTAAGGTCTTATTGTACAGACATACTATAAAGAGGCATTATAGCTCACAGCCTGGGTTGTGACAGCATGAAACAGTTTGGTGAACATCATTGATGGACCAGGAAAAGGAGTAAGAGGGAAGGTCTCTTATTGCAGACTGGGTTGGAGCCTGTTTACCCAACAGTTTAATGTTCCTGTCAGAAAGGCTTTCTTTAGCGTGTGTAAAGAGCTATGTATCTTTAATTTTCCCTTCCTTTAAAGGCTGTTTCTTTCACAAGCAGAGGTGGGGAACGCCGTGTGCAGGGAAGGGGGTGTCTATTCCTTCTTGTGGAGGGCAGGGGAGCAGCCTCGGGCCGGGAGGTGGGAGAGCAGAGGGCAGCGAGGATTCGGAGCCCCAGTCCTCAGCTGTGGTGGCCAAAAACCATCCTGGGGACCAGGCGTCAGTGCAGAGGTTGCCACAGCTCAGAAAATCTGGGATTTTGTTGAAATCAAACCAGACAGTGAGGACTCAGCACACAGTGAACGGGGGGGGGGGGTGTGTGTGCTTTGTACAGCCTTCGCCTTTCTTTCTGCTGGAGTTAGTCACTGGAGGTTGCTCAGTACTGTCTGGCTTTCTCAAGGTGAAAGACCCTTTGGTCTTTCTTGGAAAATTCACTTTTTGGAAAAGGTTCAGGTAAATCCACCTAAGAGCCCTAGTTTACTGGGTCTGTCTGGGGTGGAGTTGACAACATCTAGCTGACTTGGAGTCCCACCACAACACGTAGTAAACCAGAAGAGAGAATAACATCTGCGCCAGAGATTTTCTGGCTTAAAACATAGCTAATGCTGAAAGAAACCAAAAGCCTGACATGCAATATGTATATTTTCTAAAAGGCTAAAAGAGGTGGGTGAAGTCACAGTTTTCTTTCTTTTTCCCCTTTGCAGAGTTTCTAAAGAATTTGGGTTGTTTGTGTGGGGATAGCTACTGCTGTTGGGGGGGGGGGGGGGTGTCACCACTTGTTTTCACCTCATAGCCCTGGTTTTGGCTGTCACGCAAGGCAAGGCAGTGCTGTGAGAGTGGGGGTGAAAGCTGAACAACTGCAACAGGAGGGGAATTTTCAGACCTGATGAGTTTAAAGTTGTTGGAGGATTTAAGTACTCTTTTTTTTTTTTATTTGAATGAATTAAATTTGTAGCGTTCTAGTGAAGGTCAATGGCTGACTAATGCTTCGGACAAAGGATGCTTTTGCTAGAGACGTGTTTTCTTGAAAATAGAAAAGTACCAGTGTTAAGTGTATTTCGAGACACTGACACGCTGCCCCTTGACCAACATCGTTGGTGTAGGCAGACTGCTGACCCCCTGCCACCCTGCCCCTTGACCCGACATGGGCAGCATAGGCAGGATGCCGCCCGCAGTATCCGCGTGAGGTAGGATCCTCTCAAATCACCCTGCCATTGCTGGAGCCAAGGGGAGGCACGACTCCTACCCACATTCAGAAAAAGCATTTACGTGACTGGTTGTTGCTGCCCGGTGGCCAAGTATCACGACGTGTCATCACAGCATGACACCAAGTGTCCCTGGATGTCCACCACAGCATCTCTTATGATGCCATGTTGGACTCCACCACTGTTTGGACCACAGACACGCAGCAGATAATCTTCAAAAAAGCATAGGGCAGCATGTTTTGCATCAGAAACTCAGGGAAACATTGTGGTGCCTGATATGGCTTCTACTCTTCCCATTTGACTTCCAGCTGCCACGTCTTGCTCATTTCAGCGCTGAAGAGATATAGCTCCTCTTCCTAAATGGTAGCAGTAGAAAAAACAGTAGGGCTGGGACATATTTGCTTCGTTTGATATCCTTCTTCACCTCCTGGCAGCAGCATTCCTCATATTTTCTCTGTGAAGAATCAATAATTTAAAAATAGGAAGGAAGGAAGGAAGGAGAAAGAAGAAACCTTCCAAGACCAGCTTCACCCATAATTTTCAAAAGCCTGGTTTATTTTTAAAATCTTTACTTTCCTGGTGACATTGTCACAGGAGTCCTCCTTGATGTCTGTGAGTGTGTTTTTATATCACTGTAACTGACTTAACTCTGTTTTTGTTCATCTCCTCTTCTCTCCCAGTGGAGTTTTTATACTGTGATTTGGCTTCCATGAAGTCTATACGGCAATTTGTGCAGCGGTTTAGAGCAAAGAATTGTCCACTCCATGTCCTGGTGAATAATGGTGAGTTCTGTTTTTTAATTCACATATCTGCAGGGGAATATGTGATAAATGGGGCTCTCATCTATCACTTCACATATCAAATCGATTATCTGAACCATACAGCAGGTCACAATATCGCTGCATTAACAGCGATGTCTTTCTAGGAGTTAAAGTGCATTTTTTGGAGAGGTTGTCTGCTGAGCAGACTGAACACTTCAGTCCCACCCCTGCTTGCGATGTTATTACAAGTCTTGTTCCTTTGCTGTGTTTTTTACCTCTCCAGCACTAAAAATCATGCGGCTGCACAAGAATCTGAGCATCCCTAATAATTTTTACAAAAAGGAGAGGAAAGCTGTACTTTATGCCTGTAGAAAAACTCTTCTTTCACCTTTTATTTACTTTTTCTCCCCTTGTATTTTCCCTGTATGAACACATGTGTTTACTATGGCTGCCTGGTGAGCTGGGTTGGGGGATTACTCCATCTGAAATAGAATCTGGTAAATTTTCCAGCGACCTCAGAGCAGTCACTGCTTAGATCAAGGTGCTACTGCAAAGTTGTCCATAAAGCTGCGTCCTCAGTGGTCAGGGAACAAATTAAAAGGACAACATTTATCTTACATTCATACAATTATCAAATGAATCTCATTACTCTTAGGGATTTAAACTTTTATTATTCACATAGTTGCCATCTTATTACGTTTTATAGCCACAGTGTTTTTGGAAACCAGCCCATACAATAAATTTCCCCCTGCAAACTCTGCATGCACTTTCCTAAAGGGGAATTTTCACCTGTCTAGTTAACTAGGGGAAAAACCCACCAGCAACGATTTAGGCTTCTTTTAGAAGTTTTCTGCTTTTATGTGCTGCTGTTCTTGTTTTCCCAATTATTTGCATGTATTTTTATTAAGGCATGCCAAAGAACATTTTCTGGTTTTTTTATGCACCCTTCAGTTGTAGTGAGGGCAAACGTGCTGCAAATAAATGGGTTTGTTACATTCGTTGATGCCTTAAAGAGCTCTCAGTAACACAGGCAAATATTGCAATAAAAATTCAAGAGTATTTTGTTTCCTGATTGATATGAAACATTCATGAAATGTTCAATTAAATCTTCATTTTTATTTGGTTAGTCAAAAAAGCCTACCATTATTATTTTAATTGTGCAATAATTAAAGGTAGTGGATATTTAATCCTGGTTACAGAATTTTTCCAGTTTTACATGCCTACTTTTAAAGATACAGAGTAGAAACTGTTACACAGATGGGAACACCTTTATCTGAAAAAACAGCATTTTGTGGAAAAAAGGTTTTGAGATCTAGGCACCTGTCAGACATCTCCTGCCCTCCACCTCTTTTCTGCATGAGCAAAGCCAGGACTTTGCAGCACGGGCCTGGGGGAGAAATGATGGGGCTGAAGCAACAGCACATCTGGGAAGCGTTCTTGAATAAAGGATTTTGTTCTGCCCTAGCTGCTGCTGAAGCAAGGTGGATGAAAATTGCAGTTAAATATGTCTTCTTAATCAAGAAACAAAGTTGTATGAAAATAGATCTCCTAATGTGCCTAATATGATATGAGACCAAGGAATGTAGGCCCAAAACTTCTAAGAAAGAAGCTTGAGACTAATATTTGCCTGAATCAGTCTATATTTTGTGACCTGCAAGAAGGACATTTGATTTCACTTACGCTTGGTTACCAAATACAGCTGGCAAGAGAAATACCTTGTTTGAGAAAATCCTGTTACAAACTACAATGAAATTAATGGTCCAACTCTGTTTTTTGCTGAATATTTAACTGAATCACAGAAGTGATCACATCCAAAGCTGCAGTAAAGACTTCCATATAATTAGGTTAGTCTCTGACCATTACCTGTCAAGTTATCAGACTCCACTTCTGAAAGCTGTTTTTTTGGTTTGGGTTTTTTTTTTTTTTTGGTCCTTTTTGCTTGCTCTTGTCAATAATCAGTAGCATTTAGTTTTGTTACTTGTTTCAAAGTGAAAGCCCAAGTGATTTCTTGGTACACAAGGGGAAAATGAACATACCGAATGGAGGAGAAATGGCCTGATGCAAAACCCTTTGAACAGCTTCTTTTAGCTTTCCATCAGCGTTGAGCACATCCAAGACAAATGCCGGTGTTTCTAATAACTGGCTGGCTTTTCCTTTTACCTTTCCCTTCCTCTTTCCTTTTTTTTTTTTTTTTTTTTTTTTTTTTCACTGTAATGCAATGAACTGAGCAGGAATATTCTGTCCATCATGGACTGCAGAGCTGGAGGCACTACTCGCTCTAAGGACTCATCAGAGTTGCCAGCTCCACTGCCTTCACCGCATGATCCCCCGAACACAAGCTTGGCCTCTGGAAGGGGACAGTGCTTGCAATATTTAAATGTCTGATGGGAATGAGTTGTTGGGCAAGTTGTCAGTGAGTGTGTATGCTTTCTGTCAGAAAACTCTGTTTTCAGTGGGAAGACATTTTGCATGACCATTAGATGCCTTGCAGAACAATTCATGAAGACATGGCTGGTTTTCTTATCTCAGTGTATGCATCTAGAATGATAGGTTTCTTAGTATCACTTAGTACTTTCTTGTTTCTTACAGATCTTGAAGCTCTAGCATTCTTGAGATGAAGAGTTATTTCTATTTTTTAGCATATGGGGAAGTGCCTGTGGGCCAGGCATCTGCACAATGCATTTCTAGGCAGTCATATGCTTTTAAGAGTCTGACCCAAAGTCTGTTAGGGCTAATGGGAAGTCTCCATTAGGTTTTGAAAATCAGACTTTATGTGGGTCTCATGACTTCTGAGTCAGACCATCTGCAACCTAGGAAGAATTTTCCTCTCTATCTTCATAGGACCAAGCATTTTATTATCAAGGACTATACTTTTTTTTTTACTTTTAATGTAAAAATGCCAAGAACTGTTACATTGCTTTTTTTTTTTTTTTTCACACTAGTATTATTTAATTGTTTTAAGTCAAAAACTATTAAATTGGTTGATATAATCATGTCTATACATTAGTGATCTTTCCAGATCTTATCTCCATGAATATGTATCCTGTATGTATGTGAAGGGATATGATACATGATTGTGGGCTTGTGTGAATCTATCAAAAATCCAAACATTTCAAGATTAATTGAGGAAAGCTCTAACAGTGTACAGTAATGCAAACTATGAAATTAACATTTAAATATCATTAAAGACTGGTGATTTGGCATGAATTACTCTTCTAGATACATAATCAATACTGCATGTCTGACCTAAGATCATTGTGAAATTCAGTTTTCTAGGTCACTGGCAATTTTTAAAATAGGTATCTCTATCACTTTCTTGCCATCACTTGTCTTCCTCAATGATCTAGTTGGAAATTAAATTAATATTGAAATCCAGAGTTTCAAAGTATTCTCATAGAGCTAGACACCCAGGTCCCAGAAAAATTTCAGTAAGATTTAGGTATCCAACTAATTCAGGCACCTTAAGAAGCCTTACATGAACATTTAGTGCATTCAAACATTCAAAATGGAGATTAGTGCACTAGAGTCACCTTCTCTCTTTTTGTTATAGCTGATTTTAGCATATACATTTAACTTTCTAATTTCTAATTTAAAAGGAAAAATTTGGTTGAATGCACACATTATTTCAGCTGACAAATAAAGGCCTGTTATTCCATTACTATGCTTTCTGCATCAGTAATGTGCATGCTCAGCTCTTGGTTTTTAAAATAAACAAAACATATTAAATATGCAAATACAGTATTACGTAAACTTTTTTAAAAAATATAATGTGCTAGTGCTAAAAAGAGAAAAATGCAATGACACAGAAAACAAATTCTTTTTTCGTGGAAAAAAAAGTAAGCTAAATAGCTGAACTATGAGCCACAGAAAGATGGATGCAGTACAAGCAGATTAGAAAACAATCTGACAGAAGGTCAGAAGTGTATGTCTTCTAGTCCCCTAATTAGCAATTGGGTGGCAATTTTTCATTTTTGTTTTTGAAAAGGACTGTCTTTGTACCATTGAAAAGCATTTAGCCAATTACAACATGCACACTGGTGTAATTATTTAATACATTCATTAAAATGGTATTTCTGGTAAGGCGCAGTAGAAGGGCTGGTATCTTCCTGTGGCTGAAAAAGGGACCGATAGTAAAACACTTCATAAAATTCCATGAGCCAAAAAAACCCCCATGGTTTCATGCCACAGAGAATATTTCTAACTTTGAAGTCAGTCATTTTCTCTGTGTTCTAGAAATGTTTTTCAGCATCTTGTAGTTATTGTTTCCACTTATACATTGTTTACAGTACCTAATGATCTTAAAACCAAGCGAGCTAACACTGAAAGTCCTTCTAGTACTTAACAGGGGCTACAGGAAAGATGGGGAGGGACTCTGCTCTTTGCCAGGGAGTGTAGTGATAGGACAAGGGGAGACAGTTTTAAACTGAAAGAGGGTAGATTCAGATTAGAAATTAGGAAGAAATTAGTTGCTGTGAGGGTGGTGAGGAGCTGGCCCAGGGTGCCCAGGGCTTTAACCAATCTGGTCTAGTGGAAGGTGTCCCTGCCCATGGCAGGGAGGTTTGAACTAGATGATCTTTAAGGTCCCTTCCAACCCAAACCGTCCTATGACTCTATGATTCTGTGAAATCAAAACATCTTTAGTGGTAACAAAATACCTACAGATACCAAACCTGCTCAGTTTGACTCATTAACAATGAAATACCAACTACCTTCTCTGTTGTGTTTCATTGTTTGTGATTTTGGCTACAGGTTAGGAAAGGAGGGGGAGAAAACGATGAGGACATTCAACATATTACTTGGCATGCCCACCAACACAAAAAAAAAGAGCTTAGAGATTTCAGGATCTTATTAGCCTATTGTAGACAGATTACAGTTAATATATTTGAGGTTGAAGCTTATCTAACCCAATTTAAAATCAATATTTCTGAACTGCTGGCTAATTCAGATGTTCATATTTCGTACTTGCTGGATCATCTGAGAAATCTGTCTCTTGATAGAATGAATAAGTCTCTATAAGCTTC